TAACCAGGGTTGAAAAACCGCTTCGCGGCTTTTCAACCCTGGCCCCGTCCAGGACCGGTGAAAGTCCTTAATTTGCATGTTTCTTCCTGAATTCTAGCAAGAAAAAAGTGAAAAACACGGCTCCTCTGTCCCTTTATATAGGCTCTTCCCTACTTCCGGCGCATGCGATTTCCCTAACAAACAGGGTTTTACAAAACCTATTTTTAATAGCGAAAACCACAATTTTTCAAAATTTTGATGTGTGTGCAGTCGATTCCGGACCATTCTAAACCTATTGTCGTTTCTTCCCTATCCAAAAAACCCTTTCCCGAGGCTGTAGGAGCGGAACATCCTAACGGAAGTGCATGCAAATATACACACACACACACACAAACACTATTTTTTTATATATAGTAGGATTAGCTGGGTGGTGGGATAGATTTTCCGTTCCTTGGAGTGTTGGAGTGATGAGCATAAAGCGGAATTGAACTCAGAAACAATTTTTGAAGCGCGAAATTGAGGGAAGAAACATACAGCTGCAAAATCTTGGTTCAGGAAATTGACAGGATCACAGTTAGAGGGTAAGTGACAGCGCAATGACAAAGACCCAAAAAATACACAAAAGACCAAAGGACAGTGACATCATCCTATAGCCTGAGGGCACTAAACGCCGACCTATCGCCAACCAAGATCAGCCCCCCGCCCGAGAGTGACGGATGGGGCAGCTAGCTCCAACCCGCAACATGCTTACCCAAACAAAGTTTCTTGTGGACTAGAGAGTACTGAACGATTGTTTGATCTGAGCCTGAACCTTTTAAGCGTGTTTGACATTTACGGCACGGAATTTTTGAGATTAAAGAGAAAAGGCGAGAGTCGCTGAGCATTGAAACAAGCCTGCGGGGGACTGGAACTCGGCAATCAGCCCTGGGGCAGCTGATAGGACTATTTATAGGAGCATGGAAGATTTTAGGGATGGAGAGGATGGGAAGTATACAGTAGAGAAAAAATGTCAATAAAAATGATGCAAAGCTATGTAAACAACTAAAATGCATAATGTAAGAAAGTTTGGCTATCAATTGGATAGTTCGTAGCTTAAAAAATCTAGAAAATAAGGGATTAAACGGATAGTTTTTTTATAAATTGTACTGGAAAACATAACATTCAAAAAGCTGTGCACATTGTTTGCTAAATGGCCAAAAATTAGAAAATTGATCTTTTAGGCATTTTAAACATCTTTAATTGCCATTTTTATCCAAAAAATTCATATAGAATTAAGAGCATTATAAATATGGAATTAAATGGCACTTAGCGCTCCTTAACATATGTTTTGTTCAAAACAAGCCCCACGGACCTACGCCAAAACAATTTTCACATCGAAATTCGACTCCCGTTTCCGGTGCCCGGCCCAATTCTGACCCATTCCAGAGGGCCCCATTAATTTTTCAAAGGGCACACATGAAAAATGGGGGGTGGGGTGGGCCAGGATGAGGTGGTGGTGGTGGCCAAGGCGGCAGCCGACGCAAATCGCAAAATCCAGCCGTTGGTCAGCCCCCATTTCCCTTCCCTTTCCACCAGCACCTTCTTCTCCACCCAATGTGTGCAAATATTTGAGTATTTGTGGGGTGGAGCGCCGCTTTTAGGGAAGCAGGGGAGGAGCGGGTGATTTTGGTGGTGTGTAGGGGAAAGTGTGAGAACGACGGAATTCGCGACGTCTATTCACACCTTGTAGATGGGAGGAGGGCTACAGTTTGTACTCCGACCGACGATTTCCAACAGTCTTGGGAGGGCAAACATTCGGAATTTTAGTGGTTTGGGCTCTTGATTTTTTATAGTTTTTGGAAAGTGGACGGCGAGACGTTCCTGGGAATCGATTATGGGTGAGGGTCAAAAAGCAAGAGGCCCTTGAGGGGGCTGGAGCCGAAACTCGTTGTTTTAGCAGCATTATCCCACCCCAACAAGGAAGCAGTTATACGAAAAACGTCTAAACGCAGCGGCCAACTGACGCTGCTAGGGAGCGGTAAACAAGTTTTTGGGGGGCAAAGACGGGGTTGAACGACGGGAACCCGGCACCCAGTAAGTGGTCGCCCGGGTTTTGCTTTTCCCAAATAATCGCTGAAATCTGAGAGGACCGCGAGGGGGGAACGTTGAAAAAATAGGTCTCAGGTATTTCCGCGTCTTCCTCCAGTTTCATGCCTATTCTTGAGTTTTCTTCATTTTCGTGGGTTCTCAGCTGCTTTGTCATCTTGATATCTTCGCCAAGGGGCCCATATTGCTCGTTTTAAGTCGCGTATGAACAAAGTTAAAGAACTTACCTCTCTGATGAGAAGTGCTGTACTTAGGATTGTAGGAGAAGCCAGATCAAGCCCGCTGTCCAAGCTCCTTTGTCCTAGCTGACGGCTCCCACACCTTGAAACGCAGGGGCGACTTCTTGGTGCTAGAATTTTGGTTTTTAGCTAGACGATTTTTCAGATACTTTAAAATACAATACTGCAATTTTTCAAATATCTTAAATATAATACAAGACTTACAAGGAACCGGAGCATCACTTGATGTTGACCCTCTTGCACTAACCGGTTGGGGTGAGACGATACCGGACTAAATTTGCATCAAAAACTTTCAAAAAATGGAAGTTTACAGAGCTCGACTTCCTTGATCCCCGCATATAGTCGAACATTGTGGCGACTGGGCTTTTCTTCCGGTCATTTGGAGTGAGGCCATTTGCAAGCTAAAAAAATTAGCATAAGAACCTAGGCCTAACAAGGGAACCTCAAGTTGGCACGGTGGAATTTCGAAAAACGCTCGCGGCTACCCCTAGGTTTTCGACTTATGGCGATTCCAACGGTCTAGTCAGTATTTCCTTAATGGGCCTCTGGACAGAGATACAGCACTTCCGGAAAATGATAATTTACATCCAATAAATTAGCATTTCCGATAGGTTTATGAGGCCCTCCCATCACAATGGAGTCACCAGTTGAGTGGCCGAGGGGTAAGCGACTCGCTTGATAGAATACTGAGGAGGGTTCGGACCTGCTCGCGATTTTTTATTTTATTTTTGGACCCGAACTTCCTGTCCAACTCTAACTTTGGATTTTTACTATAAGAAAAATTTTTGGTTATGGCTCCAGGCCTACTACTTCAAAAAAGCCTCAAAAATTCGCAAAAATTATGCGAACACTTGGGTGTTCCCATCTCCGTTGTTTTACAAATAGGTCGCTCGGATGAGATTTTTTGCATTTTTTTCGGCTTCGCTGACGCTTTTAGACATTCGAAGACAGACAGAACGAATTTTCGAAAAAAAGTAGCCAAAAATTGGAGTTGGCCAGAAATTTCCACTCAAAAAGCAAAATAAAAAATCGCGAGCGGGTTCGAACCCTCGTCAGTATTCTATCAAGCGAGTTGCTTACCACTCGGCCACTCCACTGGTGATTCCATAGTGATGGGGGGGGCCTCATCAACCTATCGTAATGCTAATTTTTTGGATGTAAATTATCATTTTCCGGAAATGCTGTATCTCTGTCCACAAGCCCATTAAGGAAATACTGACTAGACCGTTGGAATCGCCATAGTCGAAAACCTAGGGGTAGCCGCGAGCGTTTTTCGAAATTCCACCGTGCCAACTTGAGGTTCCCTTGTAAGCCTAAGCTTAACCTGAGCCTGAGCTTAAATCTAAGTCTAAACGGAAGCCTAAGCCTAAGTGCAAGCCTACTCAACCGAGGCCGAAGCCTAAGCCTAAGCAAGATACCTGGGTATCAATAAACAACGGCCGTCTTGGGGAGGACAATGAGAATGTTGATGGTCCATTGGCATTGTTTGTAGGTGCTAAAAAGGCTAATTAAAACTGGAGACGCAATAAAAACTATAGCTCCTAGAAAATCCCACATAATAGCCATTTCTGGTCTACCGATACTCGCTTCTTCAACCTCGTCATCAGCCCGCGCGTGTTTAAAAATAATGTGGGTGGTGTTTGGGTAGAATCGTCGCTTTTTGCCATGCTTTACGAGCTTAAATTGGGTCTTAATTGTCTTAAAATGAGAAATACAATAAAAAAGAGGGGGAAAAGCTTCTTCGGAAGTGAACATGGCGCTGCAGGAGCAGCAGCAGCCCCCTAGGGGATGGGGCAGGCAAGTAGGGCTCAAAAACGAATTGCTTTTTGGAGAAATTGGAAAGGAGGAGCAGGACCTTTTAGAAAATAGCTGGGTTTAAGTTTAAACTTATTAAAATTGGTTGAATTCAAGAGCGGTATCTTTCTGGACCCGAGTCGATGAGGGGCTAAAGTGGGCGAAGGTGGATGTGGGGGGCGAAAAATTCGATCAGGATCCACCAAACAAGGTAAGCCCCCACCTTCAAAAACTTGCGGCCGGCCGTTCCGGCACGTTCCTCTAAACGGGTATTTTTGCCAAAAAAATGGGAACTTCTAAAGGATTATCTGGTAGTAATTATATTTTCGTTAATCCAAGCTTTCATCTATCTTGGACCTTCTTTCTCTAGCTCTCTCTCACTCTCTTTCTCGCATTCTCGTTATAGCCATCTTGTATTCCCTCCATAGCTCGTTCTCTTCCTAACTCTCTCTCTCTCTCTCTCCTCTCTCTCTCCCTTCTCTCTCTCCCATTGTTGTACAGTGTCTAACATTTTTTCAGCCTTAATCTCCCCCAGCATTATTTCCATAACCAAAACCACAAATCCCGCCGGCTCTCGACGATAATCTGGTGAAGACTTAATATTTAAGTTAAATCGGGTGGCGCCCTTCTGGAAATCCGGTGTTTCCGGGCAAAAGTGGTCCACTCGGAGGGTATCACATGAGAACCCGGATTAACCCACGCTTTTTTTGAAACGAGTACCGGCAAAAACGGAAACTGGCCATTAGGTGGGAAACTGGAAGGAAATGTATAAATGTTTTTTACTTTCATATGGCGTCGGCGATCTGGGGGAATTTTCAGTGTTCAGGAAAACGATCAGTCCAGATGAACGGCGACCACTGAAATGGTTGGGTTACTGTAGTCCTATTTTACGACTAAGATAAGCGAAAATTGCTCACTTATTTGCTATCATGTGCTCCGCGTCCGAGTGACTGCGGTGCCGGAAGCGCTCCCTGAAAAATTCAAATTTAGATATGTGGCGAAACTGGTGATTTTTTAAGCAAAACTATTTTGGAATTAAACTAGCATAACAAAACTATATTTAAATTCTATTGCTAATTCGAAGCTATTAACTTACGGCAAGAACGCAGAGTCCCTAAATTATGACGATTTTCTCGTGATTTGGATTTTCTTAGTGTTTCTAGTGAATAACGTACTGTCACTCTCCCTTTAAAGCACTTCTAAAGCTTTAAATTTAACGTTACATTTGCATGAAACGCGATAATTAGCTAAATATAATTCTAGAAAACCTGAGATTTGTTGGGAGGGCAAGGAACGGGCCGAAGCGGCTGCCACTTTCCGGCGGTGGCCCTTGATTGTAGGCGGGCGGGTAGCCGAGATCTGAAAAATATCCATATATTAATTTTTATGTAAATAAAAAGCACTATACTACCTAAATCTGAAAAATTCATATCTTCACAAGTGGCACCGTCAAAAATAATGGATTAAACTCGAGGCGCTGAAGGGCAGGACGGCTATTTTTGTCCAAAATGCGTGGGGGACAAGCGGATTGTTACGTAGTCGCGAGATTAGGTCGAAATGTAGGCAGGATTTTATTCTGATTAGAATTTTTCCTTTAGCGTCCCTTTAAAATCCCGGTTCTGAAAAACATCGGAAAACTAGGTGCAAATGGCTGGAAGCAGCCCTTATCACTACCGTTCCACTCCCAAATGCTGACCATGCAAAAGCTGAACCGCTAAAAGCCATGATGCTACCCAAAAAACGGCCCAACCCTCCCCAATTTGGAGCCCCAAAATAAGGGTTTGCCCCGGGAAACACAGCGTAATAGGCGCGTAGTTAATTAGATAGGATGGTTTGGGGAGCCCTAGAAAGGAATGGCCCTGGCCCCTCAAAAAATGGGAGGACTGGCTGGATGGGGGGAAAATGAGGGTGAAGCCATTGAAAAAGGGGGCAGTCGAGTGCCCTGGGGCCATGTAGAAAAAGAAGGAGATGAGCATCCCATGGTGGTTCCGGTCAGATGGACGAGGGAGCTCATCCATCGCTCTCGGGCCACCACTCTGGGCCACGCTCGCTTTCAAATTATTCCATTGCAGATGCACATCAGCAAGTGGAATTTCCGAGGGGAGTAAATTTAGACCCGAAAATTTAGAGGGGGATTTAGGAGATTGAATTAGATTTTGGAAGCAGTTAGAATGTCTTACGTTTTAAATTTGCACAAGGTCTTATAAATAGAGAGAGAGAGAAGAGAGAGAGAGAGAGAGAGAGAGAAAGAGAGAGCGAGAGAGAGAGTTGAGAGAGAGAGAGAGAGATAGAGAGAGAGCCGGAGAACGAGACAGAGGGAGAGAGAATCAGATCTAAGATCAGCTATGGCATAAGAGAGCACGAGCACACACGAGAGACAGCGAGAGAGAGCGCGAAGGAAAGGAGAAAAAGTTATAGAGCGAGCGTGTGAGGAGGAGAACGAGCTAAAGAGTGATCTAGTAATAGAGAAACCGAAACCGAAATGCCAAGCGTTTCCGAAACCCTAAATTTTCCTCAGAAAACCGCAGGTTTGAAGCCTGTTTCGGAGACCCCCACATTTCCACGCCCTTTTTTTTTAATAATTAGGTTGCGGTAACTGCGTCATGAAAACCCAATCGGAAACCTAGACCCCGACACAAAACCCTAGCCTCGCCAAAACTAAAGCTACCGCCCCACTCAAACAATCTTTGCACTTGTGCGCCCCTTGGGAACACCGGAAACAGCATTCGCCCCGTCTTTAGAGCTTCGAAAGGGCAACATGCGGAATGCCGGGGCTCTAAACCAGGAAGTTTTTCTATTCAGTCCATGGGAACAGGCGCATGACCTGAGAATTGCATTTTCAAGAGGCGGGATGTCAAGTCCAGATTTGGCGATCCCTTCTTTTGGATGGCTCAAAAACGGATTTACTTGCGGGGGGCTGTTTCGAGGATCGCAAATTATGCACGATAATGCTGTGCGGGTGGGGAATGAAAAACAGAGGAAAAGGAATTGTGTGCCGTCGGGGTGACCATCTGGCTTTTGATGAGAGGGGTAGAAATGGCGAGCCGCGCATATTATGGCGGAAATTTAGGAAACATTGAGAGAATGATGGCTAGAAAGTAGGAGAAAGAGAGAGAGTGAAAGGAAAGAGAAAAGAGCTAAACCGATGGAAAGAGTAAAGAGAGCATGAGCGTAAAAGCAAGATGGTCAAAATAATTTTTAATTTTAAATTTAAAAATTAGAGTAATCATATGAATTTGTCTAGAGCGTACTGCAAAATCTCGAAATCCGTACAAAAATGGATTCAGCCAACCCCAAACTATTGATTTTAAATTCCGCACGTCCGGCGGCCCCCAAAAATGGCATGTGACTACTATAACGCACCCCGCGATCAGCTCGCCGCCAAATTGTGACGAGACACGCGCGCTAATTATGGTGATTGGGCGGTTGAGGAAGGGATCTTTGCAACAAAAAAGAACTCTCGCCAACCTTCGTCTAGATTCAAGCTCTGCTGGCGTATCCGGGGCCGGGCGAACGGGTTGTCGAAGAAGTGTCTGAAATCAGGATTCATAAAATATATAATTAACAATAGTTTGTTAATTTAAGGGATAATCTAAAGGCTTTGGACCAATAACTAAAAATCTACGAATTTATGGATGTCTTAAGCAATTTTCTACGCTACCGAAGGCAGCTTGAACGTCTTGAAAAGCTCGTCATCGATTAAAAGCAGAAATTGCTCAAGCCCTGGGCTTCCCCTTAATCTAAAACGGTTTTGAACACGAGAAATCTGAATATCTAGCTCTACCCTCGCTCTAAGCCAATTTTTTTGCATCGAAAAACCCCGTGGCCAACAATGGGATTTTGCGGACGACGTGCCAGAGGCAAGATTAGAATTATTAAAAACCCAGGAGAACAGCGGCTCTCTCTCCCCCCCGGTGCCGTTTGGGGGCGTTCCCATTCTTTTCCGAATTCTCCCCATTTTTTCTTAATACTTCTACTTGTCTCGATTCCACCCACCATCCCGTCCGGTTACCCATAACAACACCCCCCGTCAGTCACCGGCCCAACCTTGGCCTCCCCACCCCCCCAAAAGCCTCTCTTATTTTTCCCCCGCTCACGAGGCGCGGGATCCGACACTACATCATTGGAGATTTGTGTGACTAGTGAATATCAGGTAATTAGGTGAAAGCTTCTTCGGTAGGAAGATTTTGCCCGATTTGTAGCTTGTTTTTGAGGGGCAACCAGTCCGAAATAAGGGATCCCGAGAAAATGGGTGCAAATCGGGTCGGGAAGCTAGGAGGATTTTCTGAAAGTTTTTACCTTCGAAAGCCGTGTTGGAACGGCATTGGTGATATGGTGGGTATGAAGATGGCACTGAATTAAAGCTACTCCGACAATATCGGGGGAAAAATATCGGGAAATGGATTGAAGAGGATACAGGATATGAATTGAATTTGAGTAAGCAAATTAGTGTAAAGGAAATTGAGTTTTCGCGTATAATCCCATTTTTGAGTTTTGGCA